TTAAGTCTGGATTTTGGTACCGGTCCATACTTGCATACTTCCTATGGAGGAATTTTGTAATTGATATGTACGCTGCAATTTGTCTAGGAGTTTCACATCTTTTCTCTTTTCCAGTCATCTTTGTTTTTTTCTCCTTTTCTGGTTCTTGTATTGTATTCTATTATTCAGGCACTTCCCCAGTTTAGCATAATTTAAGGGGGGTGCATGTAACGGAGTGTAAAATGTTAAATTACTGCATAAATGGGGACAGCGCCATCTGGCTGATGCGTGATGGCATTTAGTGCACGGAATAGGGACCACCCACAGCAGAGATAATGAGACACGCTGTGGGTAAGTTGCACTTTTCGAGCAGTCGGAGAATTATCAGTTAAAAGTGTCCAAAACACATAAAAAACTGCTTTATTGTGAATTGATCTTACAATGGACTTGTTAAGCAACTTTTGATATGTGTTTGGCGTCGAGTGTGTTATTTTATATTGAGTTATTCCGACTTTGTATTACGAGGCACAATCGTAATTCATTTGTGCATTGTCTTGTGTTTTATGTAGAACTGATTCATTCTCCATAAAGTGAAACCCCTATTTCCACGTTTATATCTCCATTGTGCAGGTAATGTGTATAAAATATGTTGTTATAATGTGTTTAATGGATTAATTGTTTTACTCATGTAGTATTGTGTATATTCACCACTAGGTGGGAATGTTTCTCTTTACATTTATTTTAATTGAGATGTTCATCATTTCATTGAGTTGATTTGTGAGTAATTCAGTGAAAATGTATTATAATTGTCTGTCTGCAAAATTGTACTCACTATACGATCACAACGCAAAAAGATTAAAAAAAGAAAGAGTACTGTTTTAAATAAACACAGCAGAGATAATGAGACACGCTGTGGAACTGATTCATTCTCCATAAAGTGAAACCCCTATTTCCACGTTTATATCTCCATTGTGCAGATCTCCATTGTGCAGAACACCCAGGCAAGACCGTCACATATATCACTGTATTAGTCCATTAAGCTACGTTAAGCGTTTTATATGTCCACCAGGGGAATCCTGACGTATTGAGGGAAACCCTAGTAGCTACTGCATGCAGCACAATCGCTGCAATATAAGGTTAAGGCAACTAAACAACCAAGAGAAATATATGTCAAACTCAAATGTAACACTTCATCTGTACATCGGCATCGGGGGAATAACATTATAATATCGTTCACGGTAGAGAAAGATGCATGTAGGCTACACAGGAAAAGTAATTGTGAAGACACTGAATTTCACATAAAACAGACGTCAAAATAATCACAAATACACTTTGTTGTAGTAAATAAGTTTTTATGAATGAATGGCTTGCTCTAACTGTTGCTCTGGTCTTCGTCAACAACACGCGCTTGCACCCCCTGCTGGTGAGGTCGACTAACAGCAGATGGAGATTATTCTCGGTAATCTACTGCTTTTCCTGCAGTTCCTGGATGTCAACGTTGAATTTACTGTCGAATTTGAACCACTGAATTTGTGGAAGCGAATTTGCAAAGCGAAATAAAATGGACTGAACCCCGCCTGTTGAATATTATAGGTTGTATTTTTAATCAGTTTGAATATTTTGGAAGTGAAATATGAAAGGTGAATATGGATTATTGAAATTTTTACTAATGAAAATGTGTTTGAAATGTTTTGAATTGAAATATTCACAGCTTAAATATTCAACCATGCTAAATTTCAGCCCATAAAAATGCAAGCCCTAAAAATACAATGCATAAAAATGCAAGCAGGGTTAATGCAATGCATATTTTTTTCAAGTAGTGCAATTCAACAGGCTTTTTGTTTCAAAAACATTTGGCATTATTTTACTTTCATAGTTATTGTATTAAAGTTTTGACCCCTCAATGTAAGTCTATGGGCTTTTTGTGATCTTTAATCTTCATTTTTAGGAAAACCATAAGTCGGATCAGTTTGAAGACACATAGCACACAGAGTCAGAACAGTCTGAAGTTCTGACTGAGTTTGGTGATTGTAGCTTTAACCCTTTGATCCGTACGATCACACCTATCACATACAGCACTATTGTGGCTGCGGTGTGAAGTATGACGTGTCACCATGGAAATGATTTTGTCTAGCCAACATAAATATCCTGGCTCTTCCAAGCTTTATGATGGGAGTGAATGGTATCATAGATTTTGTAGCCCAAAAAGAGCATCCATCCATCATAAAAGTAATCCATTCTGCTCCAAGAAAAATATCCATATTTATAACTTTATAAACTATAATCATTGGCTTTCGGTAACGGGCTCATGCAAGTCTAGTTCCGGCAGAAGAGTGACCTCTAAACCCGACGCATGACATACTGACAAACGTGGAAACATAGAGGATAGAGCAACACAAAACTCAGTCACAAATTAGAAGTCCAAAACGAGAATTATCGGAGGATTTTGATATTAGAGAATAGGAGCTTGAGTTTGTTGCCCAGCCCTGTTTGTTTGAACCGTGAGAGGTGTCTACTCTCACGGTCTCACCTAAGCTTACTCTGCTCCTACATTCGACATCATACGTCGGATCAGTGGTCACTCTTCCGCCGGAACCAGACTTGCGTACGGGCGTTATCGGAAGCCAGTTTTGTAAAATTATAAATATGGATATTTTTACAAAAACGCATCGCTTTGCTACAGAAGGCCTTTATTACCCCCCTTGGAACCGAATGGATTACTTTTATGATGGATGGATGGATGCGCTTTTTGGGGCTTCAAAATCTATGGTAAAATTCACTCCCATTATAAAGCTCGGAAGAGCCAGGATATATATTTTAAAGTGGTCATATAATGGTACATGCACTTTTACAAGTTGATTGTACTGAGTGTTGGCAGTGCCTGTACACAACCATCATAATGATAAAAATCCATCCAGTGTTTTTATTTTAATATCCTTATATGTTTTCCCCTGCCTCAAATTGAGCCGTTCGATTTTGTGACGTCACTAAATCGGACGCCCCTCCCACGATTGATAATTGACAGCAGTGTTTCAACACAGACCCGCCCTGAGCGAGCTCATCATAGTCCGTCATTGTTGATAGACTGGAGCAGAATGGCGTCTAAGCGATTGTGGTGTTCTGTTCTTGGGTGTAATAACGAACATAGCAGTCATTTTGATGTTCCTAAATCCGAACCGCTGAAGACGCAGTGGCTGAGTTTTGTTTTCGAAGGGAATATTCCCCACGATAAACATAATTTCTCACCAGACTGCTTTATAAACGAGGGTCAGTATAAAGCTGGTTTTGCTAAGAAGTTGCTCCTGAAAAAAGAATCGGTACCAACTATTCGTGTTCCTGCTGCACCTCCAGAAGAGTAAACACATAGCGTCAGTAAACACATAGCATTCGTATCTCACTACTCTACCCTGCCAGTGCATACAAAAATAGGTCAAAGTGACATTACGTTAACCAACCATTCAGAAACGTCCTGTTCGAGCCTAAATTGCCGAACTTCTTTGCGGCCGTCATCTTGTTCCGGGTCCGACTCCGGTTCAAACTGACACTGTTGCACAGATGTGTCCTCAGAGACTCCCGCTGCCATTCTTGTTCCAAAATATACCCTCAACTGTTGTCATTGTCAAGGCAACACTCCACGTGTGTTGTGTCAAAACCACTGATCTATATAATGATCAGAGGGGCGGGGTTGAGCAAAGCTCATTTTCATTTAAAGGCATATGCACTGAAACGGGTGCTGAAAACAGAGCTGTTTTTGACCAGGTAAAATGGTTGTTTAGTGTAGTGCAGAGACCAGTCTATGACAGAGACGCTCTGCGTGAGTGGTATTTACGACAGTAACATTAAATACAAGTACTACTCAGCGACTCTAGGGGTCGCTGTTTGATAAAAACGGAATTCCTGCATAGTGTGCCTTTAACTTGTACAAAAATGGCATTATATGACCCCTTTAATAAAACTCTGATTGTGTTTGGCTGATAGAAGAAAGTCATGTAAACCTTGAGGGTTGAGGGTGAGTAAATTCTGGAATAATTTAAATTTTTGGGTGAACTAACCCTTTAAAGTACAAATTCAGAATTGTATTCTACACTTTGTACAAACCACAAGCTAATAATAGCAGTGGAAAAAAGTTCAGCCTTGACAGGAAATGTTGTACTCAACGCAGGCAGAACACATACATGGTGCAGGTGAAACGTACTTTTTGCTATTGCTTTACTCATATGCAATTACTCAGCATATGCGATTTTATTTAATGCCAGCTATAATGTAAATGTTACATATGTTATAAATATATATTTGAAAGAATCTAGCACTCTGAAGTGCTCTGATGATTGACAGATGAATTGTCACAATCTATTAAATGCTTTGAAACACTTTTTCCATGCATGTTTAGAGCTACTGCATGGTGGCAGTTGCTCTGTCTGCATCTTGCATCATGGACCTTGTGCATGCATGCAGAATGAAATCCTCTTTAAATCATATTTAAATCTACTCTTACATAAAATCAGTCTGCACACGTTTCATAAATAAGGCCCACTGCACACAAACATATTCTCAACTTTGGATCACCGTATATTCTCTCTTTCTGATTTAAAACAAAACAAACAAAAAAAAACACAAACAGACAAACGTATAATAATATATTCATTTGTATTGTATTAATTACAGCATAAACAGGTTTATAAATGGTTACATTTATACTGTATATATAAGATACATCATTAAAGTATTATGACAACACATCAACAATATTATAATACAGCACCAATACATATTAAAAAAAAAACTCCAAAGAAAAACAATGGCAAAAAGGTTGATTCATATACAATAGGAAATATATATTGGGTTAATAGTGTTCCGTAGCAATTCTTATTGAGTAAATGAGACCAATAAAGATAATGGTTATGTAAGTGTATACATATGATGTTGTTCAGCACATGATCTTGTTCATAACAAAGAATGAAATTGGAGCATACAGGGGGCCATAGAGAATCTTGGTTTTGACATTCCAGAGTCTAATTGTCTACTGCTTAAAGACGCCTCTTTAAGGGCACCATATCCCTCTCATCAATGTGATTCTCATTGTGATCTGGGTCATGCCCCATCCACCTCATTTTAAAACTGCGTCCCAGTAACAGAAAGATGAGTGGGCTGGTAAAGAGGTGGGTTGTGGCCAGTACGGTAGCAGCCGGAAGTCCATATTTTGAAATGTTTTCACCCAGGCTGCCGCTTATAGTGGCCTGAAGCATAGTTAAGACGATTTGAGGGCCCCAGCACACAAAGTAGGCAATCTTTATAGCACAGATGATTTGTGCCTGCATCCTACATAATTTACATAATTTATGAGATGATGTCACACAACAGCTGAGAAACACTACCAAAGCTGGCACCACTAGCCCGAGGAGAAATCGCATGACAATGACAGCCTTCAGCCTTGTAGTGCCGTCTTGAGTTGTTCTGGAGTTGTCCAAGTCATAGTCATCAATGCAATGAAAATATCGGACCTCTCTGGAAAACAGCGAAGGACATGCCAAGACTGCTGCAATAGTCCAAGAGAATGAAATCAGAATGATGTTACAATTCTTTATCTTTTTTGTGCACATGGTCTTTAAAAGAGTAGATTTAATGCTCCAGAGACTCAGCGTGGTTGCCGTGAAGAACATACTGCCGTAGATGATATAGGATGACAGCTTGCAAGTTGCATTTCCGTAATTCCATTTAAAGTTATTGTAAGCATATAGGAGCTGAAACACAACAGATGTACAGGAGGCTAAATGTGTTACAGCCAATGCCATAATCCAAATGGCAACCTCCTGAAAACTCTTGTATTTCCGGCAGCTGATGACAATGACAGTGAAGTTGAGGGTGACACCAAGGATGAGAACAATACAATATGTAATGAAGTAGGTCATCCAGATATGAGTTTTGTACTGATTACTGCTTGTATTTGTTTCTACTTTTTTAAGTTCTTGAATGATAGAATCATAGTCTAGGCCTATATTGGTCCAGTTGCTGTTATCTGCCGACATCTTGTAAATCCTGAAACAAAATGAAATGGATTATTTCACTGTGAATACGCTGCCCTGGAAGCAGAGCCGGCCCAAGGCATAAGCGAACTAACATGCGCATACACTGTGCGATTTTGAACCGAATTCAGAATCATGCGACTCTATTTTGAGTCGGGACTATTTTCAGCTTTGTCGTGCGTAATTTGTCTTGCACTGTTTGTGCAGTGTACAGGGGAAGAGAGAGGAGATTAACCTCTCCCAACCTGTGTTGTGCCGAATTCTGACCCCCGCCAAATTATTACTTAATTATTAATTATTAATTATTAATCAGATACTGACTTCAACGAGGGGGGTAATAATTTGGCAGGGAGTCGAAATTCGGCACAACACTGGCAATCGGATGGTCAGATGAATTTCTGGCATGTCAGGGTATCGCAGTTGAAGCAGAGCTACGAACCGATCGCCCTAAAACTCAGTGTTTTTTCCTTCACTGCAAATCCGCGAGGACAGAAGTTAAACCATTTAATCTTTAATGCAGCAAGAAAGAAAACAAAAAGAGAGAGATCTTTAAGTTCTGTCGCTATCAACCTAATGTGAACCGTTGTCCATCATTTGGCAATTATGAAAAAATGTCGCTATAGCCTATTGTATTATTCGTTTTAAACCAAGTGGATATCACACAACACAAGCAATGCAAACTTTGCGTGAGAGTTATGCCGGTGAAGAAGTCACCAACAAGTGAAAGTAAAAACTGACTAGATTTCGGCACATATTCCCGCAAATACAACTAGAGATAGGGCTAAATCAAACATAAACATATGTAGTGAAAAAAAGAGAAGAGAAGTAGGGTAAAGTCAGCAAAATTTGGACCTCAGCTAAATGGGACGAATAAGCTTTTTCTTGTGGTGCTCTTTAAAGAAAATTGCGATAATGATGGGTGGTCTTGAAATGTTGTCACAACAGTACTTAATTTGAATATCAACATTTGATTGGTCAATATAAAACGTGTGTGTGGTTACTACTCAAGTGCTGGAATGTCTGAGAAAGCACATGTTAAGTACCTGTAGTTTAAGTCTAATAAAATTGTTAAGGTTGAAATTTTAATACAAACAGTATTTCAATATACAATATACATTTTTATTACATCTGTTCATGTGATTATAACATTTTATGCAATGATGTGCAAATTTCTTCGTTCCATTTAAAAAATATATCAAGTTTTGTTACTGTCCCAATTTACCTTAACATGTTAGATAAAATGGGACAGTAGCATTCAGCTAAAGTGGGACATCCTATAAAATAAAAGATAATAAATTGCTTAATGTGAAAAGTTTTGTTTTTCATAAAATGTCACAAAGCTATAGGCAGAAGAAGAAAAAAAAAACATGTCAGCCAAACAAGAGAAGTACAAAGAATGAACAAAGAATAAAAGGGGCAACCAATGAGTACAGGATAAGACTGGAGGCAGGCTAGGAACCTAGGTTTCTTTTTATTTGGCCAGGGCATGGTGTGTTCCAAAATCCACCCTTTAAAAAAGAGTGAAAGGTGTTGTGAGTGGATGTAGTCATGTCTCTGGCAGAAAACTTTTTGTCAGATTCGTCTGAGAAGAAGCTTGCAAACATGTTGAAGCTTCTTTTGTAGAGATGTGCATAAAATAGCTTTTGAATATGCAAAAGCTAATGAAAACAAAAACATTGCTTTTTACTGAAAGGTCAAAGGTTATTACTGGTTCAAAACGTAAAAAAAAAAAGAAGAAGCCCAGAGCTGTGCATGGCATCATCAACAACAACACAATCAGATAGTGTGTATGTTTTAATTAAAGCTGCCGTAGGGAGTTTTGAGAAAACGTTGACTTAGCCTGAAAATTTGAACAAGCACAACTTACAGGTCCTACCCCCTTCCTCTCTGCTGCGCTACAGCCCTCCCTCCACAACTCGTCCTCCACAGCGGAGCCTGTCGTGAACGTGCAGGCTAGTAAACAGGGCCACCGATAACAGCAGATAAAAAGTTATATGGCACATTCACTAATAGGGACTAAACGTCAACAATATGCTTTACATTGACTATGGCCTGCCCGTACTTTGACTACAAACCTCAAATCATTATGTATTTTGCAATACATGTAACTTTATAACGTTGCACTCTTTCTATAAGTTATAAATAGCTAGTAAGATAACGTTAATATAACGGTAACTAACGTTACAGTATGTAAGTAATTATTCCAGCGATATATAATGCTAGATAAGGTGTGCTAGTACATTATTTCAGCAACATGACAAGCCAGTGAATTAGCAGGTTTCAATTGTTGCTTAGCAGAGTGTGTGACATTATATCTACATGTTATGCGCTAGAGTTTTGACACAGAGTCAATGGGCTCTGTGTAATTCTTTCTTTTTCGCTTGTTTATCGTCATCAGTCTTTTTCCTTTTACCTCTTTTTTTTTGAGCAGGTGTCACTCGAGAATTGGCCGTTTAAGGCTGTTTCTCCGTCATAAGCACAGCTGCAGCTCGCCGGCAATCTTGAGTTTGAACGATGGCTCGCGCTCCGGCGCTCGCGCTGTGCAAGAGAGGGGTGTGATCAGCGCGTACACGAGCGTGACTGACACTGCTAAGACATTCCTCCTGGCTCTGATTGGTTGTTTCTGACCGGGAGCATGTATTTCTTGCAAATGGCAATAGGACCACAGGGAGGAGCCAGAGGAGCTTGATTTTTACACAGATTATCTGTCTCACATTCTACTGTCAGGACATAATGACAGTTTTAGCAAATACATTTTTTCAAAAGTTACCTACAGCAGCTTTAAGTTATTATTTTACATTTTGAAAAATTTCTATTGAAAAAAAAAAGATTTTTTACAATATCCTGTTGTAACCAATTGTATTATCCAAGTCAAGTCAAGTCATCTTCATTTATATAGCGCTTTTAACAATGAATTGTTTCAAAGCAGCTTTACAGAGATAAACATATAATTTAAGGTAACAGATTGTTTTTGCGTTATAGCGGTTCTTGAATAATGTTACTTCCAGCTAAAGTTAACTTTGATTGATTCACCTCCGTCGAAATGATCAGACTAAACGCGAACCTGTGATTAACGCTGACGGCGTTCACATGCTCATTCAGAATTCTATAGTTATGTGCTTTTTAAAATATGTGCGCAGGTTTGTAATTCCAAGCACAAACTAGATGAAAATGTGTGTCCCACTTTACCAATTGCACTTTCCCAATTTACCTGAACATGGCTGTAGAATATAAATGGGTTCTTATCATTTTTGAATGTCTGTATAGGCCTATATCTTAAAAACCCACCCATAATTCTTTCAAAAAAATCGTATGCGATCTACTCGAACAGTGTGTGAGGTAACCTTGCTGAAATCGCACAGTGTATGCTATGCCCAGCGTAAGCGGCTGCTTTGAGCCGACAAGAGCACATGAAAGGACAGCTTGTTTTTTTACAGCGCAAAATGTTCTGGCGCCGCCCTACCAATACTGTATTTGCGTGTGCTTTAAAGCCTTGACTGTAAAACATTTAATTCGTGTCCTGCTCTGACACGCGCTTTTTCTTAGCGCGTACACCCGAAGCGCGGTCACACAGCAGACTTGTAAACCTGCTGCGCCTTGTCCTTAAAGGGATGGTTCACCCAAAAATGAAAATTCTGTCTTAATCACTCATGTTGTTCCAAACCTGTATTAATTTCTTTCTTATGCTAAACGCAAAAGAAGATATTTTGGAGAATGTTTCCCATTGACTTCCATAGTAGGAAAAAAATACTATTATGAAAGTCAATGGGGACCAGCAACTATTTGGCTAACCATATTCTGCTAAATAACTTTTATGTTCAACAGAAGAAAGAATCTCATTCAGGTTTAAAACAACTTGAGGATGAGTAAATGATGACATAGTTTTATTTTTTGGATGAACTATTCCTTTAATGTTGATAAATGTATTGTTGTTTTCTTGTTACAAGTCCATCTGATCTGTTCATTTTATGTCGTTATTTGAGTTTTTAATTTAATATTGTCCATTTTGTACATTCATTTATTATATAAGAAGATTCTTTAAAGAATAGTGCAGACAAAAAAAGCTTTTCAGAAGTGGTGACTATGAACTGACTTTTTGTTTTGCTTTTGAGTGAACTGTTCCTTTAAGGAGGAGTAAAACATGTTTCTTTGTGCAAATGACGCACTAGTGAAAGCATGGAATGCTCTCATGTTCTGTACTATCTTCAAGGATAAAATATCATCTATATTTTAGAAATATCTTATGTCTATAGTCAATGTCACTGAAATCCTTATACTTTGATCAGTGATGAACGCATTTAAATGCCTTATATTATAATCAGGGAAAAACATTAGATACTTAGAATGTCAACAGAAAAACTGTAAAACCTAGTAATTCAAATATCACACACATAAAAAATGCTAAATGTAATATTATGAATGAAAACATTTACGAAGCATTTCCATAACAAATAGAAAAATCATTACACAGTTACAAAAACAGTAATATCTGCAAAGCAACACTCCATGCATGTTAAAAAAAATCTTATTATATATATAAAATATTATATATATATGTTTTAATGCTTTGCTTTCTACGGAAGCGTATTGCATTCACTTGAGGAAAAAAATCTCATGAAAAATGATCTTGTAATTCTGAGATAATTAACTTGTTAATTCAGAAAAACAGTAGATTTTTTTTCCTCAAGTGAATGCAATACGCTTCCGTAGCTTTCTGCATACTTTCTGCAAAATATTCTTACCTTTGGCAGCAACAGTGCAGAATGAGGAAAATCAGAAGAGTGTGTCCATCTGAGAGAGCTCTGAATATGAGAGTAAAAACAATACACTGAATATTTAAGTTTCTTTTTGACGGCTGAAGCACTAGCTTGTTTTCGCCAGCTGCGATTTGAACTGCAGGATATTTTTGGACAAAGTCCAGAAATCCAAACAAGTCAGTCCCTGTTGGATTAATGTTGTTACACAACCGCATGTGGAAAAATAAGTTTTATTCTTCTAAAAAATATAACCATATTTAAAATGTCATGCCATTTATGCTAAAAGTTGACATCTGAGTTTGTGGTTCTAAGTTTAAAAGAGAGACTTGCACTTTCTTAACAAGTTGCCACATGTTGTTAACAGCAACAGCACCACCAGATTATGTTGAAAAAAATATTTTGTGGTAGCTTCACTCGGTTAAATTTTCAAATAGCACTTTACCAGAGGCTGAAGTCTTAAAAGTCCAGCTCAAAGATAATGAATTAAAAGCAACCTACCTTTATGGTTTGCTCTGTCCCCTTCCATTTCATGTGAGAACTGAGCTGACTGTATTGCCTGGGGGGTGAACAGATGTCTAGTTACAAAAACTAAATAGTTTAGATTTCGTGCCAACTGCCTAAGAATGAAGGATGTACCAACATTACACTGAGTTAACTGTTGTGCAGTTAATGATTAAACGTTTGTTTTGTACAACTTACTTCCTCACCTTGGGACCAATTCTATACTGGTGGTCCTATGCGTGGGAAATGGCTTTATTGGTTTCATAGTTAACTCTTTCCATGCCATTGGTTTTAAAGGGTAACTAAACACTAAAACTTTTTTTAGTTAATGATCTGTAAGAATTGAGCTTTATAAATGCTGTTCATTGATTCGAGTACATTTTTTGACATTTGTCTAAATATATACACTGATTGGCTTCATCACTCTGTCTCCTCTCCACCAGTAAGCTGGTGTGTGGTGAGCGTTCTGGCGCACTATGGCTGTCGTCGCATCATCCAAGTGGATGCTGCACATTGGTGGTGGTTGAGGAGATTCCCCCTTCCATGTGAAGCGCTTTGAGTGCCTAGAAAAGCGCTATATAAATGAAATGAATTATTATTATTAGTATTATTATTTGGGTATAAAGTGTTTTAATTTTCAAATATATGGTGTAACCATAAATACATAGACCCCCTATTGGCCGCTGCAGCGTATGTCAATGGCGCCGCCATGTTGGGGATGGCAACTTTCCCATACCTCTCATACCAGGAATTGAGAAAAATGCCTGTTTCGTGGGCTGCTTGGGGCTGTAAAAATCGCCACACAATTGAAAACAGCTTTCGAGGAATTACCTTTCACAAGGCAAGACTGAACGTTTGTTTTTGGTTGTATTTGGTCATGATTTAATTAGTAATAGTAACATTCAGAGGTTAAATTTATTAAATACTACTGTTATTGTGTCACGAAATGTAGTTTTAATAGTTTTTCAGTCGACAATGTAGTCGTTTAAAGCTGAAATATGTGGTTTGTTTATAAAGATAGCGCCTATTTAAAATTTTAAGTTGTAAGATGCTATCACCGGGGCTCAGCGCTCGTCTACCCCGCCTGGAACAGCCGTACCTCGGCCAGTGCTTCTGACGTTTGCCGCTGGCTCGGATGTCTCTAGTCTAGTGGTTAAACATGAGATATAATTCTTCTTGTGTATATCTAACGGGCGATCTTTGGTCTCATTAATCTATAAATGGTTCCCTGCAATCGGTTTGGCTGAGGGCAAAGTGAAGTTTCATAACTTTATATTTAGGCTATTTTAACGTTGTATCCTGCTGTATGTTTGACTGAAGCTACTTCTGTTATAATGGCTATTACTGATCAATAAAACTAAAATTTAACAAAAAAGAGTTAAATATTAAAGTCACTATTTAACTTATTTTTTATTGTGTATATTCTGTATATTGATATTTCTTATTCTATTGCTATATTACTATTAATAAACTATATGCTATTATCAATATTTTTATGATTGTATTATTGTACTTATGATATTATATAATTATACTATTCATTCCTATTTTATTTGCTGTATACTACTTGTTTATTTTAGTATTTATTACTTCTCATTTTATGTTATATTTACTATTTGCATTGCACTAGTTGTACCATAACATATGTAAATCATAAAGGATCCAGCCGTTATCTTTGTTATTGCTAAAATCTGGTCAATCACAGAAAATGCTTTTTCCACAATAAGAAAATTTATATCTCAGTATGGGGGTCTTCGCCATTCTTATCCAAGAATAAAAAGCCTAATACATGACAAGCCTGAGCTTTGACCATTCTTTATTAAAAAAAATATTTTACAAGTCTAACTATCGAGATTTTAAATAACTAGAGATGGAACTTTTTGTACACCACATACAAACCAGTGAAATCGGTTGATAAATGTAAAAACAGTTTGTTTTTATCCAGAAAAAACGCAGCTCACCCGTTTACTTACATTTGATTACACTGCAGTCTTGCCCTCCGCAAAATGGCGGACCTAACGTTCCAAAGCGGCCAATAGGGGGTCTATTTATTTATTATGTCTATGGTGTAAAAACATCTGAGTGCTGCCCTATTCAGGTTAAACGGAAAGCTCCTGAAGTAGGGGTACTCTGTGACGTAGGGTACTCTGTCACTCTTGGTGCGAGCTCACCACGCCCTTGGCAGCCCCTGGTATAAAAGCTGGTTCCGCCAAAACTGTAGATGGGCTGCGAAATCGGGGTTACGACGCTGGTTGACCACGTGTCACACAGCTGATTGGGAGTGTTTTTTTTTTTTTTTTTTTTTTTTGAAATTTTCTTATCACAATAAACAATAAAAACGTCTGACAAAGAAGAAAAATATGACATCCTCAAAATTTACAATATAACCTTATTGTATTGTAAACTAAGAGTCACACCTCCTGCAAATCATCTGAAAAGACATGTTCTATACTGTTCACATGACAAGAGAGAACAAACTAGATTGAAAGAACTCAAAACAATAAAAATAAACAAAAACAAAATAATAACATAAACAAACCAAAAAGAGGGACTCAGCTCATCTGAAGTGTTATTAAACGATTATACAGTTTTTTAGCCTGGGCATTCTCAACCTTTATAAGACAGTTTTGAAACAGCAAAAGTTCATTTTTAAATGCAGACCATGTGGGGGAGGACTTAGCGAATCGACATTTATGTATATAATATTTTGTAGCTATAATTAGATTATTGACCAAAAATTCATCATTTTTATTTTGTAGAATTACACCCATCTGAATATTTTGATATGAAAAGAAATCTATGTTTATAGATCTGGAGGACAACAGGCTGTGAAGAGATTTCCATAAATTCTGAGCCATTTGACATTCATAAAACAGGTGTTCAGTTGTTTCAACATTAATTTTGCAGATATGACAATTGTCTACCTCAAACTTGAATCTTTTCTTTACAAACTCATTAGAGGGATATATATTATTTATTGTTTTAAAATGTACTTCCTTAAATTTAGGAGGAATTGGATATCTTAAGAATTTAGTTCTAATCGAAGATATTTCATATTTGTTATAACCAAGAAAGAAGAGAGTGCTCCTTGTTCTACCCGGGTACAAAAAGTTAACCAGAGTTTGCTTAAGGAATTTATTATTACATTTTGTATCTACCAGGTCCACATAATCGATTTTAATTTTGTGTAGTCTTGGTGAAGCAATGTTCATAATATTATTCTTTATTGCTTGAATAAGGACCTTTGGAATGTTCTGTGTTACTTTGTTGTAATCCACAATTGAGCAGTTAATATTATATTTAGAATTAAATTCCTTCAGTTCAAGAATATTACCATTTTCATCCAATATATGAACAATTGACCATATTTGCTTTTCCCACCAGTCTTTCGTGATTGGGAGTGGTCGGGGACTCGGAGTGGTTGGCGACAGCTAGACTGTGAATGGGCAGGAAATGGCAGAAGGAAGTGAGGAGACAGGAAGTGAGATGGGAGTTGAAGAAGAAGGCGGGAGAGGAGTGATTGGAATGAAATATGATCAAGGAAACGGGAAAAAAAGGAGAAAGTGACATCTCATAGAGATGAAACAGACATCTCATAGAGATGAAACAGAAACAGAAGAAAGTATGACAATAGTAAGTAAGCAACAAGATGAGGAATATAAAGTGATCATGAAATTATCTCAGGAGGGGTCATCATTTGGTGAGTGGAATCCGATTCAAATAACAAAATCAATAAACAAGTTTATAGGTGAGATAAAAAATGCAAAAGTATTAAGAAATGGAGCGTTGTTGATTTTCTGTAGGAATAAAATGCAACAAGAGAAAGCCCTAGAACTGAATAGAATAGATGGCAAGAAGATAAAGTGCGTCTCGACTGCGTTGGTTCGAGGAGTTATCACAGGAATACCGGTAAATGTTACAGAAGAACAAATCAAAGACAATGTAACAGGGGCAAAAGTGTTGGAGGTAAAACGCCTTAGTTCGCCCATTTAAGACATGAAGTTGTATGCAATCCTTACCAGCACTACACACTGACCCACTCTGTTGTCACCTCCTCCTCCCTGGTCAGAGTTCTGGCCGCTGGAAGTTTTTCAATAAAGTACTCCCGGTTATTTTCCGGTGCCACAAAACTGTGCGTTTTTACGTGAAAAAAATATTTGCGTTTCAAAGCTTGATTAATTTACCACACAAAAAACACGCCGGTCAAAATTCATACCTCAGTTTTAATCGGCACTATTTTCTATCCATTTCTATCAATCCGCGCTGCTGTCAACGTCAACAGTGCGCACGCTCCGATCAGCTGTTCCATAGTGTTTACACAATCGATTGACAACGACGTAAAAAGTATTTAATTAACAATGGTGCGAACTTGTGCTAAACTACTTTCATCATCTGATCCGTCTGGCATTGTGCTAAAATTGGTTTCATCATCAGAAGTTTCGTAGTAAGACATGTTGTCAGCGAGTCGCGCTATCAACAGCTGATCGGAACGTGCGCACTGTTGACGTTGACAGCAGCGCGGATTGATAGAAATGGATAGAAAATAGTGCCGATTAAAACTGAGGTATGAATTTGACCGGCGTGTTTTTTGTGTGGTAAATTAATCAAGCTTTGAAACGCAAATATTTTTTTTCACGTAAAAACGCACAGTTTTGTGGCACCGGAAAATAACCGGGAGTAGGCTACTTT